CCCGTTGGACCGGGCTTCTGATCTGTAGTCGGTTTTGCTTTTTGTAGCGATTCTTTGGCACTCACCTCTTCAGCAGGCTCCTCTGAGGTTTGGTCCTTCGCCGAGTTAGGTATTCTCCTGTCGCCTGATGACTGATTGCTTTGAGCTTTGTCAGAAGATTGCTTCTTCCTTCGCCAAAGGCACAAGACAATTGCCGAAATCAGTACGGCGATAGCCACCAACGCGCCACATATCTTGGCGTTTAATTCGACGGTCGGCGAGTCCGATTCAACAAACGTAGTCTCCATCGCTTTGTTGGCGTTGTACCGTGACACAGCAATGTTCGTCTGCCTTGTACAACAACAGATATCGACTGCTGATCGTTCGAATTTAAACTCTGCGGACGACAGTTTTGCATTTTACACATTATTCCGATAAATGTATTTACTTTACAGCAGAAGACACGACGTTACAACTTAGGTGCTTTGCACTGACCATCTTATTGTAAAGTAAGATGATTGTCAATTAGTCATTAATTTATTCAGTCAATCAGTCAGTCGGTCAAAGTCGTGGACGAAGTCAAGCCATAAAGTCGTCGAAAAAGTATTTCCTGGAAACTAAACCGTTTGCATTGTTCAATGACCGTCTATGGCTGAAAATTTGACATGATTACCCACCTTGAAGCCTGCTTGATTTTAGAGAAGTCTCCTTTCAACTGCTTGCCTAAGCCTTTATGGGATAATCGAGTTGGAAAGTTTCCGGGAGTTGACTGCTTCTCATCAGTGAATTAAAACAAAATAACTGCAATGTATCTTTCAAAAGCGGGATTAGAAGGGTCATCCGGAAGTTGAGCAGAAGCCGTAGCCAGCATGAAACAGGCTTTCAAGAACGCTGTAACTCGCAATCTTTAATATTCCATGCTTAAGAAAGTTGAATGAAAGGATGAAATATTTCCAAAATTTGTAACGGTAAAATGGCTCCCAGCTAATTTTGCACTATAGAAGAATGGGATATAGCAAACCAGGAGATTATGAGGTTCGTTTGTCGGATAGATTGCGCATATGGAAGCACTTGCATTAGAAAAACAACAAAAGAAACGAAAGAAAAACAGAAAAGAAGCTTTCAGGCTTGGTGCAGGAACATATGACTTGCCTGAGCAGCGCAGGAGGAAATGCTTCTGCCGAAACGCAGAACAGCATTTTGAAGAGCCACGCCTTTCGATAGGAACCGATCATGATTAACCGTAGAAAAATCCATGGAAATAGTGAATGGAAAAGGAAAGAAAAGGACAGAAATCCGTAATTCTAGGAGTTATCACACCAGAACGAACATAGAGCAAGATGAAATGACAACATACCTGTACGATTCAGGGAACCTAACTTCTGTTGCATTAACATAATCCTGCTTAATATTTTTTGCTTCGTTACAGAATGGTGCCCCGATGTTCTTCTATCGATAGCGCCTTTGAATATATCACAGTAAAAATTTTTCTTCGCTCGTCAGTTTTATATTGATGTTTTTATTGTTAAAATTTTGGCCTGTCTGTTTTCACCGTTTATTTTAGTTTTATTACTTATCAATCCATTAGCAAACGTGGGACCATTTCGGCTCCCCTTTCAGATGCGATAGGGGGAGGGGTTAATTATAGCTAATTACTCGTTTTAAAAACGTTGTTGTGTCCCTTAAGATG